TTTCTTTTAGTATGGTGTGTGCATGTAAATGGATGAAAATAAATGAAGAAATTTATGTAAATCTCCCCAAAAATACAGTGGAAAATTTTTTTATAAAATGTACTACAGTATTGTACACTAATGTACTCCATTTTTTATATATTGAGCAAAATATATGACGCTTATATTCAAATTAATCTCTGTCTTGCAAGGATTTCAGCAATGCAAATTATATTATCCTAACTTTAGTCTGAGATATTATATAAAATAAACAAAGAAATCACCAAACTTTTATCTTGAACACGAGGGTGGTGGGAAGAGGGGGGGAGGTGACAGAATGTCTGGCGTTTGTTTATTTATTTATTTGAGATAAGATTTGACAGTTGGCGCTGAAGGCCTCCCTGCGTGATTATTTATCATTACTTAAGAGTGACTAAGCTCTTCTCATAATTTGCCACCCAAACGACCTGGGTGAATATAACTCACATTGGAGGGATTCTTGTAAGATAGTAATTTATTTGAATACAGTACCTGTATAAACAAGCTGTATTTGCAATAGACATAACAATTTTAGTACCGTAATCATTTAGTAAATGTACAATACAGGTTTGCACTTAGGTCCATTGTTACTGTACAATATTGACTAAATTCACTAGATAACGTACGCCTGGCCGCACAATCTATAAGAATACGCGATGCATACGTGACTGTGCCCGCTCTAGGTCCATTTCGGTTCTCTAGGTCCCATTATTTGAGTGTTTTTTTTTTTCAATTTAAATTTTAATTATTTATTCCTTGATAGAGGAAGCGGGATCCTAGTGGTTACTTGGTACCCCTGTACCATAACACCAGAAGCAACTGGCCAGTGTCACAAGTATATACAGTACAGTACAGTCATCCCTTGGTTATCGCGCCTACAGTAGGCTCTCACCAATAACGTTTAATAGGTGCCTGAAAAACAACGTTATTAGCGAAAACGTTATTTGTATGACATTAAAATACATGTAAAAAGGGTTTATTGGTGCCGCTGCCACAAGAATTTCACCCATTTTTTCCCCTTGAAGCCCTCCTAACACTTTTTGTTAGCTGAAATAAAAAGAATTGCTATTCAATCATCAAAATAAAGAGTGAGTAATACAACACTTAGCTTGGGGGAGTTTTTGAGGTGCTTGGTGTGATGATTGTTCCGTATCTGAGGGCCGCTAACACTTGCACTGTCTTTCATTCTACAAGCTAACCATTTCACAAGAAAATGCTCTGTTATCACTAACAACCTGTTTCTATCGCCTTTATCATTCATAGCTCGCCTCGCATTTCCATTACTACAGAAATATTTTTAGCCAGCATAATACTCTTCTTGGTCTCCTCTAAGTTCCTCTTAATACTTTGCACTGTAGACTCAGGACAGTTCAATTTCCTCACTTTAAAAGTTCCCAGTCATTCAGGTGGCAAATCTCTCCCTCCACCACCTCCCCTAGCCCCCACAGGCAAAAATGTGGAAGCCATTATTGATCACCGACCCTCACACGTGGGCGCAGCGCTGTATTCCACTTAACGTGTGTGAAAGCGAGGCGGAGCGGACAACTACGTCATCAACATGGGGGGCAAACAAATGCTATCATTGATGCGCTCGGACGCTTCCCGCGAAATTTCCGTTACTCAAGAGAATCCAGACGTTATTATCGAAAATGGGTATCTATTGTAACTTACCGTTATTGTCGAAAACGTTATTGTGGAAGTCGTTATTGGTGAGAGCCTACTGTAATTGGGACCCCGCCGATAACGAAAGTACAGAACCTATGTGATTTATTCTAATTGGTTCAGGCACCCACGACCCAACCCCAAGTTTCCCATTTTACGACCATTTAGACCCACTAAATATATATATAATGTTATGGTAAATATCATAAACACACATAGGCATGGCTAGGTTTATTACAAGGTGATGAAAAGGGTACGCTTAATACTGTAGTCCACAAAACATGTAGCTATGCTTTTTTATTTGGTCCCCCTCATATGAGTCCGTTTTCTCTCACATCAGGACGCCTGAGTCCTCCCTTTTCTCTCTTAATCTTAGAGTGCACCAGAAACTTTACTATTTTTAGTAATGCCACAAAATTTGAAATTGCAACCCCAATTGCAACTGGGGTTGCAATTGTTGAGGCAACTAGATATGTCTGATTACAGCAAATGTGTTATTGTCAATTTGTAGGTGAAAGATTTTATCCTCAATAGATGTAGGTTAACATTTCACCTGTAGGCAAATGCTTAAAAAAAGCCTAAGTAAGGAAGCATATTCCTTTAACACATAATATCTGACCAGTATGGGGAGGATCATCGTGTCTCCGTCAGGGGGTCGTGGAGTGGTGGTCCAGCAGGCGTCACTTTGGGGGGGGGCACGGACGTATATGCGATCGGACGTTGTTCGGTCGGACGTTAACCGGCGCATGACTGTATGTGTGTAGACACACACTGAAAACACATACAAATTAATAATATTGGGAATATTCTCTCACAAATAATCAGAAACAAAATTTATTAAAAATGTGAGTCTACCCTCAAGTATGTGCTTTATTAATAAAGCAAGGAGTAGACTTGAAGGTACTCAACATTTTTAATATACATTTGTTTCCGATTATTTGTGAGAGTATTTTGCCATTATTATTTCTTTGAATGTAGTGTCTACACACACACACACACACGTATATACAATACAGGTAGGTAGTAAGCAGCTACCAAACAGGGAGGTACTACGGCCTGGCAAGATATTGGAAGCATTATGTGTTGTCTAATGGTTTACCCTGCTGCCATATGGCATCACAAAAATTTTGACAAAGTTCCAGGTTGCTGATCTGACTTTCTGCCTCATTTACACACAATTGCAGGGTCACAATTGTTTCTCTTACTTTGACAACACAACTTACATATATTGTTTTTCATTCCTGATAATTTTTTATTTTTTTTGGATGTCTTTATTATTATTATTATTATTATTATTATTATTATTATTACTATTATTATTATTATTATTATTATTATGTCATTTTATTTTTTTATTATTAAGTTTATTTATAATGAATTATTATTATTATTACACTTCCGCCCCCAAGGACGCGATGTGGGTCAGTGACCTGTGCCCAGGTGGGCTAATCCCCCCCAAAAAAGGGGGGGGGGGGGGAATTACTGTCTCTAGAACGAATGGCTCCCTGTCCCGGCCGCAAAAAATGCCGGCAACTTTAAAACTACCCGCAGTCATTCTTGGGTACATTTAAGGTGCCATCCGTAAATAGTAGAAAACCGTGGAAAAAAAAATCTGAGAATTATCCGGGCGTACTGTAACTGGAAAAGATTCCATGGATAAGGAATTTTTCAGGGTTTGAGATCATCTGGTTAGCTGGAAATCTCACATATCCGGAAGTGCTCTGCACCAATTGTTTCAGCTAACAGGGATATCACTGTATTCCTCTAAAACTAAGGTCGAATTATAGGTTGATTTAACAATTAGTAAAAGGGAATAGGTTCCAATCCTTCATTATGCTGTACAGTAAGTCCCCATTGAATGTTAATCCTTTGAACGAAGCCACACTGTAACGAAAGCAAGTTTTTACTACCCATTTGCCAATTAACACCACCACTACCTCTATTATCACCACCTAAATCATAATTTCACCTTCCTCCCTCCTTCCCACCCACTGCATCTCACTGACACTCTGCCTCTCTCACTCATTCTACTATAACTGTCATTCATGATACAATATTGTACAACAAAAAATACTGTATTGCTAAACTAGTAAATAAAAGCCATATGAAAGTTTAACACAGTTGCCATTTGCATACACTCCCTGCTTAACCATAGTAACAGAGACCAACAGGGAGGTACCTCCTGTCTCCCTAGCAATGCTCCCCTCTGTCACCGAGCCAGCTAACACCTCACAGCTTGGTCCATTAGCCTGGTGGCTACAGTGATAAATCTAAACCTAGCTACAATGCCATAATTATCACTATTAAGCATTATTCTATCAGTAAATCCAGTGAAATATGGCAGGGAGTGAGGAGAGTTACAACTGCAGATGATGCTCAACTAAGGGTCACTCACTCCTGTTGCCCACTCCTGTTACCAGGCATAGCCAGGCGTAAGTATGGGAGAAATACATTATCTTGTTTGTAGTCCAATTTGTAAATGGTGACGGGCACAGTGATAAACAAATTATATAAACCATGCATTTTCCTACGATAACATAATAAGAAACATTGTATCATTACTAGAGTGAATGAATTAATGTTCCCACAAACCTTTATGTTTTACATGTTTTTATCTTCAGTATTTTGATGTGTTGCAATTATTTTGTCACAGAGCTTAGTACAGGAACACATCCCCCCTTATTACATTAATTTATATGGGAAAAATAGTTTGAATGAACGAAATCCACCTAACAGAAGCATTTTAATGCAACCTAACCTTTTTCATTCAAATGGGAACTTTCGGTATTGTTGAGATGTGGACTGGGCTAACAGCCACCGTGTCACTCCACTACATTAACAATGACCTGTAAGACAGAATATTTTTTCAATTTTTTTAATTTTTCTTCAAAAATTTGCATCGTTACTCAAGGTGTTTACTGTATTTCTTTCTGGCTTATGTGAAGACCAAATATCCCACTCCCTATATCTCTCACATGTTCTGAAGTACTCTCAACACAAATTCCCAAAACGTATCGTTTTTAACCCTTAAGCCCCGGGTTATTAGGGTGCTGCTGGCAGTACCCCCCCACCCCCCACGGGGTTAAATCGAGAAAAAAAATAAAATTTTCCAAAAATAATACAGTAACAATAAAAAATAAATAAAATAAATAAATAAAAATGGCGGGAAAATAGGTGGACGTTCTGGAACATCACCCGGGGCGTAAGGGCTAAGCGCATAACCCTCACGATTTATTGTTTTTGTCAGCTCTGCTCACCAAAACAGTTACATGCCATCCTAACTCAACACAGTAAAATGTACAACTTCGAACAGAACTTACACTCTTGGTACACTTGAACACAAATGGAGGACCTTCAAAGAAAGCTGATTTACTATCCTCTGAACCAGTAGCAATGCGGAATGGGCGAGTTGGTTTCCAGGAAACTGAATTAATGGCCTTTGTGTGACCAGACAAGTCCCCCTTCACTGATGCTCCTGTGTCCATCATGAACACATGAGCAAACCTGTGGACACATGCAAGTGTTATAGCTGCTACAAGGCAAGTTTTATAATTTATGAAAAAGTACTATTCAAATATGAAGGTAATTCTGGCTTAGCTTGTTATATGTCAAAATAAAAAATTGTTTAATCAATTTTTCCAGATTAAACCAAATCTGAGGAGTATTTTATAATAAACAGATAAGTGAATGAATGAGTATGAAGACAAATGATGGATTGATTCTTAATTCCCATTATATGACTAAGCCTGGTGAGAATAGCGTGTGAAAATATCCTCCAAGCTTTCTGACTTTGGATCCCATGGAAGTTCTAGACCTAAATATTCCAAAAGTTAATGTTAACTCCCTTATGACAGCCCTACTATCCCATAAATAATAGGTGTATAAAACTGAGGTAGACTGAAGGCTGGAAGCTTCAAGTACTGTGTGCAATGCACCTCAAAGGGAAGATAAGCCAATACCTTAAATTGCACAGAATATATTATGGTACCTAAACCCCTACAAAACACTACACCTCTTGTTGAGAAGAAAATATATTTTTGGAAGCCAACAGCCTCAGTAAGGAGTAACAGTGTTCTCCAGCAAGGTTACAATTAAAGGGTCCACAAGATCAAAGTCAAAGTACATGATTAAAAACCATACCAACTTGAGAGAGAGAGAGAGAGAGAGAGAGAGAGAGAGAGAGAGAGAGAGAGAGAGAGAGAGAGAGAGAGAGAGAGAGAGAGAGAGAGAGAGAGAGAGAGAGAGAGAGAGAGAGAGAGAGAGAGAGAGAGAGAGAGAGAGAGAGAGAGAGAGAGAGAGAGAGAGAGAGAGAGAGAGAGAGAGAGAGAGAGAGGGAGAGAGAGAGAGAGAGAGAGAGAGAGAGAGAGAGAGAGAGAGAGAGAGAGAGAGAGAGAGAGAGAGAGAGAGAGAGAGAGAGAGAGAGAGAGAGAGAGAGAGAGAGAGAGAGAGAGAGAGAGAGAGAGAGAGAGAGAGAGAGAGAGAGAGAGAGAGAGAGAGAGAGAGAGAGAGAGAGAGAGAGAGAGAGAGAGAGAGAGAGAGAGAGAGAGAGAGAGAGAGAGAGAGAGAGAGAGAGAGAGAGAGAGAGAGAGAGAGAGAGAGAGAGAGAGAGAGAGAGAGAGAGAGAGAGAGAGAGAGAGAGAGAGAGAGAGAGAGAGAGAGAGAGAGAGAGAGAGAGAGAGAGAGAGAGAGAGAGAGAGAGAGAGAGAGAGAGAGAGAGAGAGAGAGAGAGAGAGAGAGAGAGAGAGAGAGAGAGAGAGAGAGAGAGAGAGAGAGAGAGAGAGAGAGAGAGAGAGAGAGAGAGAGAGAGAGAGAGAGAGAGAGAGAGAGAGAGAGAGAGAGAGAGAGAGAGAGAGAGAGAGAGAGAGAGAGAGAGAGAGAGAGAGAGAGAGAGAGAGAGAGAGAGAGAGAGAGAGAGAGAGAGAGAGAGAGAGAGAGAGAGAGAGAGAGAGAGAGAGAGAGAGAGAGAGAGAGAGAGAGAGAGAGAGAGAGAGAGAGAGAGAGAGAGAGAGAGAGAGAGAGAGAGAGAGAGAGAGAGAGAGAGAGAGAGAGAGAGAGAGAGAGAGAGAGAGAGAGAGAGAGAGAGAGAGAGAGAGAGAGAGAGAGAGAGAGAGAGAGAGAGAGAGAGAGAGAGAGAGAGAGAGAGAGAGAGAGAGAGAGAGAGAGAGAGAGAGAGAGAGAGAGAGAGAGAGAGAGAGAGAGAGAGAGAGAGAGAGAGAGAGAGAGAGAGAGAGAGAGAGAGAGAGAGAGAGAGAGAGAGAGAGAGAGAGAGAGAGAGAGAGAGAGAGAGAGAGAGAGAGAGAGAGAGAGAGAGAGAGAGAGAGAGAGAGAGAGAGAGAGAGAGAGAGAGAGAGAGAGAGAGAGAGAGAGAGAGAGAGAGAGAGAGAGAGAGAGAGAGAGAGAGAGAGAGAGAGAGAGAGAGAGAGAGAGAAAAAATAAGAGAAAGAAAGAAAGAGTCCTTCGCTTAAAGTATATGAATCAAGTGTAAAGTGTCCCTGGAAGGTGGGCAACAGATAGAAAAATCAAAGAAGGGGGGGAGGAAGATTTTCAGTGATATTATTCTATAACAGACAACAGTACTGTACTGTACATACAATACTCAAAATTGAACTTTAATTGTGAGTGAGTCATTGGTGATGGGATGTTGGTGATGTGGAGGCTGTTAGCTGAGGAGGTGAGGACAGTTATAAAACAAAAAAATATAACAATACCTGTGATGTAAACTCATTGGCATACTATTTCCCATTATTTCATATACAGTACAGTACATAAGAAAATGTGGCATAATGAATTTGCGAGAGCTGCTTCCATTAGGGGAGTAAAATCTGGACACACATGATATTTATAATAATAACGAGATATAATAACTTGATTTTAGTTAACTCACTTTCCTCGACCTTCTCCAACAACACATATTCGCTGAGAGTCATGAGACCAGCATATGTCCCGGATCGGGCCTCCAAGGGGTTGGTACTCTGCCTTAAGAATGTGTTCAGGATTTATGGTGTCCCATATGCGCACCTTGCCATGCTGATCTGATGGTGGATGGAATAATGTAGATTATCTCCAATAATGGACTCTGTTATCTGTGATTCTTGTATAAAAAAACCCTATCCTTTAAATCCATTCTCAGGAAAAAAAAATAGTGTAGTACATAATCCTTAAATATTCTGCTCACCGTGATATCCCAGTTAGCCGGAACAATTAGTGGAAAGCACTTCCGGGGATGAGAGATTTCCGGCTAACCAGACGACTTTCTCAAACCCGGAAAAATTCCTTATCCCCGGAATATTTTCCGGTTACTAGGAAAGGTTTCCGAGTGTCTAAACTAGACATCTTGCGTACACAGACACTAGCCCACTTCCCAGAATGTTTCTGGGTGCTTGGGTGTCCGAAAATGCATTCTAATTAGGTTAGAAACTGCATTTCTTTACTCTAATAATCCAGAATAGATTAGCTAAAATTTTGGTAAAATAAATATATTTGAAAATAAAAAATCTATGATATGAGCGTGAATGAAACTGTGTGTTACAGCAAAGACTGGTATTTTCCACTCCCATGGAGCTGTGGAGGATTAGTGGGTCTTGTGTACCTGACCTGATGCAATGTCAGGTGGAGGTAGGGTGGAGGATTAGTGGTCTCATATTATTGACCTACTGATGGAATGTTAGGTCACCTTTTCTTGGCCGAGGGATTAGTGGGTCTCATGACCTGAAGATGTCTTGAATAAATGCAAAACCTAAGTATTTTTTAGAGAGATTGTGATAAGTACCAGTAGCGATTAATTTGAGTACAGTCTCTCCTCGACTTACGACGGGGTTCCGTCCCGACGACCAGGTCATAAGTCGAAAAGGCGAAAATAATACTGTACATAGAAATTCTAAAATGGGTGTCTCTTTTTCTTCTCAGCACTACGAGAACTCTCACTTTTACATTTGCCAGCCATTTCAAATGGAATTACAAAAAATTTTTTTTTGTCTCTACACAGCGCGATCACTAACGCCGGGACTCAAAAATACGTAATGTGAAAAATATCTTATATGACCATGGCCGTTGTATGTTCGGGTTGTCGTAAATCGAGGAGAGACTGTATAAACATCCCTTAATTTGCACCATACATAATAAATTTAGTAATTAACTTAGTACATTTGAGTAAAGGTTCAAAGCTTTGTGACATCAGTAATGTATGAGTCTCCATATGCCTTGGTTTATTCATTGATCAGTTGTCTAAGTACAAAAGTAGCACTGTCAAGCTATCATATATCAATTAATTTTAAAATAGAAATTATAATGTAAAATGAAGACAATGGTTTAGTAGTGCTGTTAATGTGTGTGTTGTGTAAGTGTCTTGGCATGTCACCTCACCACCCGACTCCTGAACAAACTCTTCATCAACTTTTTCAAATCCTACACAATGTGCTTGGCAACCTCAAAACACACACACAAAAGCACATACTCCACACAGACACACACTACATCCTTGACCACCGTAGAGTCAAGATCTATTCAGGCGTTGCTCCTGCCGAGCAGCGGCCTCCCTTGGCCAATGTTCGGCCCCATTCCCCAAGTCCCTCTCCTCAACCCATCTTCACCACTGGGATATCAACATAATCAAAAGTGACAATTTTGTTTTGGAAAGAAGTGGGATCAGTGTTGAAAAGTGATGAACAGTGTCTAAGCCAGTGAATTCAGCACTAGACAGTACCAGTGAGAGCCGTGACCCACCAGTGGGATAAGCATCCCTGGGAACCATCCTCTGACCAAACGGCATTTATCCATCCACCCTGGGAGCAACATGGGGCCGGTTATGAACCTGACTACGAGATAACACATCACCGAGCAGAGAGTGAGGTACTGTGACACCACTCAGTGTCCCCATGACCAAGTGAGGTTCTTCATATCAACACCCAAGGACGAGTTACTACACCACATGAACATCAAACCACCTGGTGTCTCAATGACCAGCCCAGGCCAGCAACTGTAAACTATAATAATTTGTATGTTCAATTCATGTTCCTTCTTCTTTCGGTAATAAAAGCTTTTGTTAAACGACCCACCTACCCCATGTCATTGTATGTAATAAGTCATTTTTGTCTAATGTATATTTTCAGCCTTCAGGCTGTAGAACTTTTTCAATAAACTGTTAATTATTATTATTATTACACACGGAAATTTGCCATTGGGGGGTTGGAAACTTTCAATTTCAATAGACCCTTCTCCTTCGGCTGGGAGGAGGAGGATTGGGGGGCGAGGAGATTAATGTACATATACTTTACTCAAGAATTATCAAAGCAGAGGAATTTTATTGTTTTGCTTATAAAATATCACTGACTTGACTTAGGAGAATATAACTTGCATTGCTGAAATTCTTGTAAGATAGCAATTAATTTGAGCATAAACATCCCATACTTTGCACCATACATAATAATTTTAGTAAATAACTTAGGACTTTAAGTACAGGTTGTGATAATTTATGCGGTTGCAGTTTCAAAGATTGTGACATCACTAATGTATAATGGTCTCCATATGCCCTGGTTTATTCACTGATCAGTTGTCTAAGTCCAAAAGCATCGCTGTTGAGTTATCGTGTATCAATTAATTTTAAAATATAAATTATAGTGTAAAATGTTACAAGACAATGGTTTAGTAGTGCTGTTAATGTGTGTGTTGTGTAAGTGTCTTGGCATGTCACCTCACCACCTCAACAAACTCTTCATTCATTAACTTCTGCAAATCCTACAATGTGCTTGGTAAGGTGACACACACACACACACACACACACACACACACACACACACACACACGCGCGCGCGCGCGCGAATTAAGACAACAAGCATCCAGTGAGGGTCTTGTTATGTGACTGCATGGAGGCAAATTAAAAGATCAGCTGTTGAGGAGCTTATCACTTGGTAACACTGGTGCATGTTACCACTCCTTTCCACTCCATCTCTAATCACCCACATCTTTCTGTTTTCTCACTCCATATTTTAAAATGTTATGTAATGTAATTTTGAAGGGATACAACTTTGCTCATTTATACTTATACTTATCACAATTTCCCTAAAATATTTTAGGTATCGTGTTTATTCAAGACATCTTCAGGTAACCTGACATTCCATCAGGTCAGCAGTACGAGACCACTAATCCCCCACCTGACACTGAGTCAGGTCAGGGCCCCCAAAAATACTTTAGCTTTCGTCTTTATTCAAGACATTTTCAGAAAAAGCTCTCGATTCTCAAGCCCAGAAAATTTGTTCCCAAAGCCGGAAGTTTTTGGATAATTCAGGCTTTGGGAATGATTTTCAGAGAAAATTTCAATTCCGGCTATAAGAGAGTTCCAGGTTTGAGGGATTCCAGCTAACGGAGATATTACTGTAAATGGAAGTTCAATACTGTCTATTAATTTTCTTTATTAAAATATTAAATAAATAATATTAATACTACTGTACTACAATTAACATACATATCAGGTCTTTCTGTTCTATATAGTAATATCTCCATTAGCCGGAATCCCTCAAACCTGGAACTCTCTTATAGCCGGAATTGAAATTTTCTCGGAAAATTGTTCCCAAAGCCTGAATTTTCAGAAAAATTCAGGCTTTGGGAACGATTTTCCAAGGGGCACATTTACCGGAAAATTCTGAGACCATTTTCCCGATACCCGGAAAATTCCGGGGATGGGGGGAGTTTTTTTCTGGGTTTGAGAGATGAAAATCAGGCGCATTTTCTGGAAATTCCGAGAAAATTTTTTCGTTGCCCGGAAAATTCCAGGGATGAGGGATATTTTTCCGGGTTCGAAAGATGATGTAATGGGCAATTTCTTGAACTTCTGAGAAATTTTTTCCGTTACCCGGAAAATTCCAGGAAGGAGGGATTTCATCCCGGCTTTGAGAGTCGTCTCGTTACCCGGAAATCTCTCATTCCCAGAAGTGCTCCGCACCAATTGTTACAGCTAACAGGGATATCACCGTATACTATTTGTACACAAAACAACTTTAACAGCCACAAGGAATACATCCTGACACTCAGTTTATACATAAGTTGTTGGTTATACAGTAATAGTGATATTTAAGCAAGGTGTACAGTTGGATAATTAATATTATGGAACAAATGTGGAAGTGTTTAAAACTGAAATTGTAGGTCTTCATATAATACCCTTCACCTCACAATCTAAACAGAGGCCTACCATAGTGAAGTTAATGAGAAGCAAAGACTTAATATAGGAGGTAAAGCTACAAGGAACACAGGTGTCTGACACTACAATTTTCATTATAACAGCCGAGGCATTTTGCTTTATTTCCTAAGAAACATAAGACAAAATTACCATAAACTCCTACTCCTCAGTACTGTAACACCTTAACAGTCCAGTCAGAGTTACAAGTCAAACAACGCAAAAAGCAACTGCTTGTACTTGAATAAAGAAAAGTCCAACAGCCACTACTGATTACAAGTTTGTTTGTATATTTTCATATATACTGTAATTATAAGATGCAGAGAAGACATATAATATTAGTGAAAATGCCAAATCCCAAACTCCTGAGGGCAGTCACGTTGCCTCCTGATAATCTAGCATCTTTAAGAGTACTGTACTGTACATCCATCATCCAATTACTTAAAACTTTATAATCCCTCTACTGTACACTTTAATTTGTGGTATACATAAACCTGAAACAATAACAACAAGTGGTTACACTAATACATCTCAGGATAAAAATGTATACATGCCCTTAAGCTATACTACACATTCTATGTGACTAAACTAACAGTACATAAGTAATGATCTACAGTACCTCCAACATCGCTCTGCATAAAAGCAAGGATTATCATATCAGAATATCAAACTATTATCCTCTTTTCAAGCACTTTCAGACCTTGAAAAATAAGGATGCTCTAAAAAGAAGATATGTAACTAGAGTATAATGTAACCATATACTGTAATGTATACAGGTAATATACATTTTTTATTAGCCGTGTAATTTCTTGTCAACCCTTCACGAGCTACAGGAGGAGAAGTTAAAACAAATATGTAATAAAA